GTTTTTACAATTATTTTTTACTGCTAGTGATCAGTTTACAAAAAAAGTATAAAATCATATATTTGTACTGGAAGACATTTTATTATATGTTAATTGATGAAATATTATAATTGCATCTTCAACTTTACCGGAATAAATAATGTGTTGTTTTCTTGAACAACCTACCTAATTCTAACAGGGCACAACAAATTTATTCTTCTAAGATCCCTCCAAATATAATGATAGTAATTAATTTTTCTTTTGTTTGATATTTGAGAATTATATGTTGCTTACAGCTTTGGGATTATCCTGTTTGAGATAATACTTCAGACATATTTACTTATTCTCCATATGGTCAAATAGATGTTGCTGCAATTTTTTTCTTTGTTCTTTTTTCCTTAAATTAGTTTATGCTAAATTTTAGACTAATTTCATACATTGTAAAATTCTGTTTCTTAGAGGTAATTAGTGTTCAATCAAAGGGCTGATTTCTCATTTAGCTTGCAGGCCCTCCAAAAAGAATGCAAACAAGAAAAGAATGATAGACCAAAAAAATTGAATCTTTTATCTTGGTTTCATTAAGAATATTAAAACAAGAACAAAATCAGTGCCATGAAACATGAACCAATCTCATATGCGATCTGTCTCACCTCTCAGCAACACAAAGCTGATGCCTTTCAATGTTTAAAAAATAGAAGAAAAACATAACAGAACTTGGCAGAAATTTTTGCTAAAGATAAAATCTATCACATACAAAAACTTTAATGATCTCGCCTTTTGGCAGGAATCTATGACCATGAAACTCACCGATGAAATCGTATTTGCTAGAAATACACCCCTACTTATTGAATCTTCAACAATCAACATTCTTTTGTAAGTCTATCTCCTGATAAATGTCATCCAACTTAGCCACCCAACCCAAAAGGGTAATCAAGTACGACAAGCTCGGCTTTGACTTTTCTATTCAGCCCATGAAATCGATTTAACATTATTATTTAGTTGATGTTGGACAATGCATTTGGTCACTTTACAGATGGGCAACAACACAAGCAAATGAGAAACAACCTGCAATATTGAAGTAAAACATCATACGTATGAAACTTAGTTTAAACAGTGGCTTTGAAATCAGCAGCAAACCAAGGGGGTCAAAAAAGCATTTCCACAAAGTGACTTAAACCACAAAGTTGAAAAAGACTATGCTCAGCTTTGTAGAAACCAGCCATCTAGAATTATTCAAAAGCTTAATGATCCTCAAAAAAGTAACTTCATTACCCCTATTACTTTAAAATTTTGACAACTTACTAAATTGCCTATAAAAGGAATAACATTTGCAGTTGCTGTCCACAAGGAGTCTTAAAACTTTTGAAGCAATTTCTGAACACTAAACTGAATATGGAAATCAACCTTATTATTCCTTACCTGTACTTCCTATGCATTTTTGCTGGACTTGTCTGTGTATTTGCATAATCCAATCAACATAACCACTGACACCACCAAACTGATCCTCAACAAGGTTTGTGAGAAGAAGCGACCCTTCTCGAGGTTGCTCACCTTGCCGTACAAGGTAAATCAGCTGATAATACGAAGGGTCACTCTCCCTAATTTTCTTCAGGATCCCCATCAACTTTCTTGACATTTCGTTTTCATGCTCTCTAAGGATAACCTGATAAAACAAAAACATCGCAACCATACAGCATATAGGTTAAATGAGAAATCAATATCGTATTTTTCTCTTTCTGGTCGGATAAGTAAGAATTTGTTACTAATACCAGAGAAAAGTCAAAACTTCAAAAATAACATTACAGAAAAAGGAACTATTTCTGACACGGACGTTCCTGCACAAAGACTCTCCATGCAAGAAAAGACAGCATGTTTAAGACAACTACAAGTCAATCACATTACATATTCAGGGCAAAACCAATCTATATTTGATTGACACCCTATAACTCAGTAATGCTTAGGCTGTATCGTCATAGGTTGATACATCTGCTACCGTCAACCTATTACACAATAATACTGGCACAAACTCAAAACATTGAAATCAGTTGGGCTTTAAATGTTTCACTGTAAATATATATCACCAGGTCCTCTCTTTCACAGATAATCAAAACCCATAAAAAAACCAAATTTAGGTTATTTTCCTGCTAAACAATGAAATAGGAAACTTCGGCACCCACATCCAAGTCAAAAGTTAATAAAAGAAGAGAACATCAATTCTCAAATGTTGAAGGCCAGTATCGCCATCTTAAAAACATTAATAAAACCAATTCTAAATAGGAACTGAGCACACACTAAGTAATGAGTAAAGAACACTGATAATGAACAACATACCCGTGATAATTCTGCTGCAAAGTCTGCCCCAAGAAGACTCTCAGATATACCCGGTGGCAGTGTTCTACCAAACCATATAATAAAGCGAAAACCATCGTCATATATATAAAGACCTCTGGAATCCAAGCTGTCTGCACTCAGTGGTAACCTTTTTAAGTTCTCTTTGAAGTCATTATCTTTACCAGACGGCTGCATGTATGAGATATGGATGAAATGTTAAGAGTTTTGTAAACTCTGTAAATTATCAAAATGAAGTTTAAACATTACTAAACATGAAAAAACTTCCACCTTTAGGAGATACTCATCAACTCGAATCAAACTAGGATATAAAAGCTTCAACAGTTTTTTAACTGGTAATGCCATCATGGTGTAACCTGCTGCACAGCATTCATCAAGCTGAGCCTCAGCATATCCTCCTCGAAGAGGTTGATTTACAAAGTGCCAATCTATATGCAGCTAAGAACTTTAAAGACTCGGGGAATATCATCCTAGCCCCTAAGTGATGCTGTACAGCATAGAGGTTACAGTATTCTCTGAGAGCTTTAACAATCCTTATTTGCAGTGAGTTTCATGCATCCTCCAGCTTACTTGATAAGGTCTTCTCAATTACTGCAAATTACCAATCCGTTAGCAGAGATCCCAGGTTATACATGGCATTACCTGTAGTGGCATCCTGTTTACCTACCAAGCCTGGCAAACAGAGAAACAATGGCACCCGTGTCAGCTTGGCAGTAAATCTCCCCAAGATCTGAAACTACTGGAGCTGCTACTGTACGTATTCTGATGCGGCTCTCTCCACAGGATGCAGTGTAACTTTTAATTGTTAAAGAAACTTTAGAAAATCAAACTATTCTTAACTCTCAAATATTATGCTACCAATTTTTTCAAGTAATACCCTGCTGACCTGCTGGTTTTTTGTTTCAGTAATTCCCTATTAGTTTCATTATTATTATTATTATTGTATTATTAGTATTATTTTGAGAATTCCCCACTAAGAAGAAACTGACAAATTTCTGGTAAGTCGTAATGAGAAAGACATGAAGTACGCAAAGTGCCTGCACATGAGAATCAACGTCCCATTGCGCATGAAGTTCGCGGAAATGAGACGTTAACATAGTTTACCTGTCTAAGAAAACACATGGAAGTCTGCCCCAAGCAACTGTCTAAGAATAAAATACACATGCATGGGCATGCACACAAACTCAGATCTACATATATACATAAATAAATGCATAAAAAAAGAAACACACACAGATATATACGAATCCATAAATACATGCATGCCATACATAAAATATACTTCCAGAAAGAAGTCCTTCTTTCAGTTATTAAAGGTAGCTGAAATATTAACTGCACATTTGTATCTCCAAATTTCATTGAAAGATTCCCATTTGAAGGATACAGTAGAGCAACTTGGAAGTATACAGTTTGAGTTGTCAGTAAAGTCTCCTCAAGAGATAGCTGCATTGCGTATGCTTGATCACAATCCACAGCTGGAAGCGCTAACAAATCCATAGATCTTAACATAAAGTTCCCATGATAAGATGTAAACCAGATCCCTGCAAGTACCAAAAATCAATGACAAAATAAAATTAGCATTTCTATAATTCGAACAGAACACAGTTTGAATGCAGGATAATAGACCTTTTCCACATCTTATCCGCATTACAGCTTCCCAGGCAGTTTCCCTTGTAAGGTTTCTCACTAACTCATGCTTCACTTCTCTCCGCTAATTGATTAGAACCTGGATAGTAGTACACCTGACCTCCAGTATACTTTGCAAGAGTTCCTACAAGTATATTAAAGTAATATGAAAGATTAAAATATTGCATAAGGTATAGCATCATGAATCCAGCACCCTCGAAAATGTGTAGCACGCAAACAGCAATTTGGAAAAACAATTTAAACCATGGAATATGTGCTCCATCATAAGACCAATAAACTTCTGTCCGTATACCATCTTAATCAACACCGTTGCAAGGCAAATTAACTAAATTAAAGAGATTCTCTATATCTCAGAGTAACATATTTTAAGTATCATGAGGATGAAAAACAACAGGATATACTCTTCCTGTCCTTCAAATTAATACTTAGGAACAATAGCAGACAGCTTAAATTTTTTTTTTTTAATTCCTTTTTCAAATAACACTTCAGAAAATCTGGATCCCAGACTCCATCAGCATCCAAGTTACCAACTTATTACAAGATCCAAGCTTAAGCAATCTCAAGAAAATCATGAAGGACTACGGATAACTAAGCATTTGGACCCAGTATCTGCCAGCAAGACATGCTATATAGACTGGTTAATAGCCATTACAACTTGGACATCTTCCCAACATTATTGAGACAATGAATTTCAAACATCAATGCTAGGAACCTATAGCTAATAGAACTATAAAATCCGCTGCCTTAACTCAGAACAAAAATATTTTTTATACTGCTGTACACTACAGATACGAAATGATTGCGTACCAATGGAGGCAATATCAGTCTACTAATCACTGAATGCATATAAATTCACCCCTACTTAGTAAAATGGGTAGCCATCTGCTTATAGAAGGGATCTTCTGGCACTCTTAAAGGTGCTCCTTGTCTGTTCCATAAACGCAAAGATCATCTCCTTGTAGCTTTAGGCGACCAAAACCAAGAGATGGCGACATACGCTGAAAAATTAGCAATTTCCCTCCAAGTTGACTCTGCAAATAAATGTTTAAAATGAAGGAAAGCCCATATTTTTCCACAATTAATATCCTTCATTATGACTTCAAGAGATAAGTTTTTGTCCTGTGAAAGTCATTTCATGGTTGCTAAGCAAAAAATGATTGCTCACTCTGCCCACAGTATCAACCTCCACTCTTCAGCATCAACGTTCTTTTTGAAAGACCATTCACCACTCCTGAAGCCTTCGCTCTCCATTACACCACCCAATTCCTGAAGGATACCATGAATTTCCTCCAACCCTGTTTGCCCTGCTGAAAACACATAAACCTTCTTTTTCACTTGTATCCAGCTGTGCCCACCCACTTTCTTTAGACCTTTTGTCTTCACCAAGCTTCTAACCCTTGCAGAATCTTCCCACCTCCCGCTTTCAGCATAGATATTAGAGAGTAACATATGGCTCCCACTCTGTTTTGAGTCAAGACGGAAAAGACGAGAAGCGGCTCCCTCTGCAACTTCTGTATTTTTGTGCATCCGACAGGAATTTAACAGAGCTCCCCAGACACAGGCATTGGGTTCCATTGGCATGCCTTTCACAATGTCAATTGCTTCTTGCAAGAACCCAGCTCGCCCAAGGACATCCACAATGCAAGCATAGTGCTCCATCTGGGGTTCTATCCCAAATACTCTGGTCATAAGATCAAACAGCCTGCGGCCCTTTGCAACAAGCCCAGTGTGGCTGCAGGCAGAAAGAACAGCGACAAAGGTGACTCCATCTGGATGGAATCCAGCTTCCACCATCTCATTAAAAATTGTTAGAGCTCTCTCACCCTGTCCATGCATCCCATACCCCGTGATCAATGAGTTCCATGAGATCAAATCCTTGTTATCAATTTTCTCAAATATTATCTGCCCTTCCTTGAGAGATCCACATCTCATGTACATATTGAGTAAGCCATTTCCAACCAAAATGTTATTATCCATGAATGCTCTAAGTAGATGGCAATGGATTTCCTTACCAAGACTTAATGCTGCCAACTCAGCACAAACTGATAAAACACTAGAGATTGTAACACAATTGGCCATTACCTGAGCAAGCTGCATGCGACGAAAAAGTTGCAGAGACTCCTCCCCTCTTCCCTGTGAAGCATAACCACTGATTATAGCACTCCAACTAATCATGTTAGGCCTCTCCATTGAAGAACCGTTTGATTTTTCCAGCTCTGAGAATATTTCAAGAGCCTCATCACAAAAACCAGTCTCTACATATGATGTAATCAAAGCATTCCAACTCACAACATTCTTGTTTCTCATTTCTGAAAACAAAACTTTTGCATTTGCCACATCTCCATACTTACCATACAAACATATAAGAGCGTTCTTGACAAACAAATAGTCTTCAAACCCACTCTTTATAACACATCCATGAACCATTCTGCCCCTGTCCAACGCAGCTAAATTGTCACAAACAGACAATAAAACGGCGAGAACTTCAGCACTGGCCCTAAAACCTCTCATCTTCATCATATCAAACAACTCAATAACACATCCATACCGGCCGCATCGAGAATGTCCAGACAAAAGTGAGGTCCAAGTTACTTGGTTTGGTTCCAAACCTTCCAACTCCATCCGCTTAAACATCTCAAAGGCACCATCACAGTCCAAATTCAGAGAAAACCCTGAAACCATCGTGTTCCATGAAATATAGCTTCTCACGGTCATTCTATCAAACAAATAGAGGGCATCATCCATCTGACCGAGCTTCGCATACATGCCCAACAATTCATTTACAACATGAAGATGATGTTGAAACCCCATTTGCAAAATATGACTGTGAACGATTTTGCCTGAACTAGAACTAGCCAGGAACCCACATGCCCTTATAACCAACGGAAATGTAAAGCCATCGGCCAAAACTCCTAATCTTCGCATTTTAACATAAAGTTGGAGGGCATTTTCATAATACCCATGAGAGACATTAGCTCTCAAAATTGAATTCCACAGAAGCAAATTCGATAAACACCCAAACGGAGAGGTATCAAATACGTTTTGTGCATCAACAAGCAACCCAAACCGAGCATAAATTGACACGACACGCGCCGCCAAAAACGCCGAATTGTACATACCAGAGACAATGACCTGTTGGTGAACTTGTCTGCAGAGTCGAACTGCGCAGCATTGTTGAAGAAGATTATCGAACCAAAAGAGCCGCTCATTGAGAGGGAGAGAGGACCAATATGATTTGCTAATGTGGGTGCTGTGGTGTTGATTAATATAGATTGAACGTTGGAGATGAAGATGTAAAGAGTTGGATAAAGGACGTAGAGAAGAAAGAGCATGAAGCATGAAGAAGATGATTCGCAGAGCCGTTAATTTGGAGGCACAGACCGCAACGTCGGAGGTTTTTTTAGTTGAAGAAATCTACGTTAATTATATATATGTATGCAAGTATATATATATATATGTTGTTGAAGGAGGAAAATGTCATTGTCTCCATCATTTTCTCTGTTCCTGCTTTTCTTAAATAATTTCTTAAATAATATATGAAATATATATATTCCAAATTTCATATATTTTAAAACTTTTATATTTTATTCAATTAAATTATTATATAATAAAATGATAGAATTGCTAAAATATTCTTATTTTTTTAAATAAAATTTTTAGATAAAGCTCTCATTTTTCAGTCTCATGCTTAATCTCTCAATTATTGTAAATTTTTTAAAAATTAGTTATTCAAATAAATAAATATAAATATATATTTTTTTTGTATTTTATTTATATATATCATTTATATTTAAAAAAAAATACCTATTCAGTGTTGATTAATATTTTTGTGGTTCATTGAGATAAATGTTAAATTATTGTTGATTAATTCTCACACTTTGATGAAATTTGTGCGTAAATATCTTTTCTCCACATCATGATTTGAAAAAATAAATAAATAAATAAAATCCAGAGGGACAAAGAATAAAAAAAATTTAATTTTTCTTCCAAATTTTTACGCTTAATTATTTTTATTTTTAAACATTACTTTTATAAGATAATTATTTTTATTTTTAGATATAGTAGAGTGAAAATTATTACTTTTTTTTTTTTTTTGTAAAAAGACGAGCTGATTTGAATAAAAATTTTCTAATACGTAGTCTCATAACATAGTTGATTTTTTCATTGATGTTTTTCAATTTTTTCACATTGAAAAATTTTATTTGATCCTTACATATTTTTCTGTTACTTTTATGATGTCTATATTACTATTTTCGATTCAATTATAATATTCGACGTCGATTCCAGGTAAATGTCGTCAGTTTGTAAAAATCAAACTCAAATATTCACCCCGTTTGGTGGTGCCAATAACAAATAACAAGCTCTTCACTTTGCCAAAAGAAAGGGGTAACTAGCCTACCTTCCAAGAAGATAACAATTTCGGTCTGCAAGTAGCTGATTCTCAAAAACAATCACATTCCAGTAATAGGATATCTGAATTTCAAGACAATTGCTGAGGTAAAAGACTCATATATCTATCTCTCTCTGGCTTCAATGCAACTTTAGAAACTGAAAAAAGAAAAAACAAAAAATGTATTGATAGTGATATATCCGGTATTGTAACTTGTAAAGCTTACCATTTTTCTAATGGAAACAACTAATATTCATCATCCATCACTGGCATTCGGCTTGAAGGTTTCTTTTTCTTGTCATCTGGATTCTCCACTACAGCTGCCTCAGTTGTCGCCAGTAGCAATGAGACACTGCAACCAAAAGTATATTTAACATGCAGAAATTTTTTGCACAATTCTTTTTAGCCTAAAGTTTGCCTGTCATCACCTTGCAGCATCCACTAAGGCTGTTCTAACCACCTTAAGGGGATCGACAATTCCTGCCTCCACCATATCAACATAATTACCTGTTTTTAACAGAATAAAGTACTGAGGGTTCCAATAAGGAAAGTGTCAATGACGACATTTAGTAAAAACCTGAAGAGACATACCTCTAGAAGCATCAAAACCAAAACTATGATTGTCTTGCTCTAGCAATTTGCCAAGTACCACGGATCCATCAAAACCAGCATTTGCAGCTATTGTATATATAGGTGCCTATAGACAACCAATAATTATCCTCAGGGATTATAGGTTGGCAGTTAAATAAGAGAGAAAGACAATGCTGAGTATATAGGGTCCAATAAATAGACCTTGAGGGCACTTTGAATTATCTGAATGCCCCTTTTCTCGTCTTCGTTTTGAGCTTGAAGGTCCTCCAAAATCTTGGTTGCATATAAGAGAGCAACTCCACCACTAAAAGAAAAACCGTCTCTCGTGATAATGGTTATGTTTACAAGAATGGTTGACCTATAAATAACAACAGTCAACTTACCAGGCACAACACCCTCTTCTACAGCTGCTCTAGTAGCATTTAAGGCATCTGTCACTCTATCTTTTCTTTCTCCAACTTCTGCCTCGCTAGCTCCCCCAACCTGTAAGAGATCTTTTGATTGCATGGATGCTACTAGAAAACACTGCAGGAATCCAGAAAGATGAATAACGTACTTTGAAGACAGCAACACCACCGGATAATTTTGATAGCCGTTCCTGTGCTTTCTCCTTGTCAAACAAGGCAGTGCTCTCCTCCATGGTTGTCCTTAACTGTGAAAAAGGAAAAAATGTCAGCAGAGTTTTCTTACCTGATAAAATATCCTTCAATTAACTATCACTTATTACAATAAATTAATTAAGGATTATTAAATTTTTTGTTGTTCAACATACACTCCATCCTAAACCGTATTTTCCTTCTCAAATTTAAGATAATAACATCAGCAGCTGCCATTCTGCAGCCATCTGATGATAAATCTTACTAACATGAAAATAGTACCTGCAACCCCTAGGGATGAGCCCAACTTTAAAATCTTTACAATATTTGAACTAAGTGGTGGGTCATAGCGTGTTAAAAATTAAGATATTTGGTTTATATTCCAGACTTATTACAAGGAATACATCTGATTTCCCTTCATTCTTTTTACCATGTCCGAAGAAGAATAAAAAATTATAAATGGACTTAAATGGGTAAAACTAAAATTGAATGCCAATGTAGATAGTAAGATAGAAAAGAAATGACAGAATAAATCAGCATACCTCCTCACATCTGTCTTCAATCGATTTCTTATCCCCACCACCATGGAGAATTATGGTGTCATCAAGAGATATAGACACCTGGGGTAACTATCAGTAAATGTTTGTAAGAAGCATGAAGAAAACAAGCACATGTTATGCACAAACCTTTTTTGCCATGCCAAGCATTTCAACCTTGACTTTGTTAAGAGATAGACCGTGTTCTTCAGTGATAACCTGTACATTAGCTAGGTTTATGGTTATTTAAGCTAGAGCAAGCATATAACTGCCATAAAATCTAGTCCTGGAAAACATTTCACCTCTCCCCCAGTAAGAAGGGCAAGATCATCCAAGTTCGCTCTTCTGTTATCTCCAAAGCCAGGAGCTTTAACAGCACATACCTAAAACCAGAAAGTCCAGACTGGACTGAGCATTTCAATATAAAAGATGCATCCTCTATGTTTAATCATCTCACTAAATGGAAAGATCCAATCATCCATTTTTACCAGGAGAAACATGTGGATAAACTTCAATATAGTATGTCAGTGATAAAAAGCCCCTCAAGCAAAAAGCCAAAGTTCCAAGCCAGAAGAGTCTTTATATATTCCCAGACCAAAATAAATTCCAGTACAAACTACGACCTTCTAAAGTTTAGTTTAAATTGAAGTTCAAGAACCAATTCGATTGAAAAACTAAAGAAAAACCACAAGCAATGACAGAGGCAGGCCCATACGCAATATTTTGAGTACGACTGAGTGAAGAGCTGCTTTATGATTTAAATAGATGCTGAGAATAATAGGTAGAAATAGTTCACATCCATTCAGTAACGAAAATAAAAATACATTTTCCTCTCTGCTTATGTACTAGCAGTTCATATTCAGTAACCTTCTTTCTGAAAAACCTTGTATACTACCTAATTCAAATTCCAAGCACAGAAACCCAATTACCTTAAGCCCAGCACGATGCTTGTTGAGAATAAGCATCGCAAGAGCATCACTATCCACATCCTCAGCAACAATAAGAAGTGGCCTATTTTTCTGTTTGAAAATAAACAGCAAGAGAAAAAATTGAGTTCTTTTATGATGAACCTAATCCTTCATTTGCTTTTCAAATGAAAAATGACATGTATGGTAAATGCTAATTACATTTACAGACAGCTCTAGAACTTTTAAAAGCGAGTTCATGTCTGAAATTTTCTTGCCATAAATGAGTATCAGCGGATTTTCAAGCTCCTGCAAACATGCATATCATCAAGTTTAATATCAGAATTATTTTCTTTTAATATTTTAATAGAAAGAGAATATTTGACTAGAATTTAGATCATGTTAAACAAGATACATGTAGCTGTAATTCAATATAAAACACATGACATAATGGGTTATAATTGCTCCGCCACTAGAAGAAGAACAATTGCAATTATACTGATGTAACTCACACATTTCTGGGTCTTCTGATCTGTAATAAAATAAGGAGAAATATAACCTCTGGATAGCTTCATTCCTTCCACTACTTCCAATTCATTATCCAAAGTCTTCCCGTCCTATTAAAAATTGCAAATATTATTTTGCAAACCAAACTGTAAAAAGTTCAGGGATCAAAATATTAGAAGGAAATATCCTCACAGTAACAGTAATAACTCCTTCCTTTCCAACTTTCTCCATGGCTCTTGCTATAAGTTCTCCGATCTCACGTTCACCATTAGCAGAAATAGTGG